ACAATCCCTGTTTTCCTGCCCTTTTCTGCCTTGGGGCAGCTGGGAACTGTAGTCCAGCTGATGAGGAAGCCCCATTCAACCCAGCGAGTGAGACCTCTCTGGAACTACAGCTCAATTAAACCTTATGGTGGAACATTTTAAACACACAACCACAGACAGCAGCCCAGCAGCCATCTTACAAACACAGGTAGCTGCCATTTCATTACACCTACCCACAGCCACTGAGGGAAAAGTTAAGTCCCACACAGGAGGCAAGCAGGAGAAGCATCTTCGTCAAAGAGAGAAAGCCATTTGCCAGTAATTCTGACGGCAGAGTGGTCGAAGGGGGAGTGGGCAGGGAAGAGGAGCAGACCCACCCCCGGCCAATGGCATGCGAGTAGTCTTGAGTGGCAGCTGATGGGCCAATGGCTGAGGGAGTGCATGGAATTCTGCTACCCCATAGGAGGGAAGCCACCCTAACTGACAATTATATATAAGAAGAGATTAGGTTTTTTAGTCACCACTCACCCAAAGGGTCTTGTGATAACTTACAGTATTATTTCATAGTTACAGTCTCTTTAAATCAGTTTTTATAAGTCTGACTCATTTTGTTGGTTTTGTTATAATAAAACTGCACCTCATACTTTCTTTTAGTTTTCAGCTTTTATGTAGGATTAATGAAGCCATGTATACCTTCAAAACTTAACAAAGGCACATTTTTGTTACATTGGCTTAATGGGGAACTTTTAGTGTACCTTCTGGAAGCCTTGGTGTTTATAATTTCTGAAAGTTAAGCCATTTCTCTAAAAATGCTCTTAGGCACTTTAGGCTATTTGCCCTAACAGTCTGCTATGCTAGTTTTGCTTTCTCCTTTGTATTAAAGAAGTACTCAGTTTATTTAATGTTCAGGAATAATACCTGTCTCTTGTAATGGCAGTAGTGTGATAGTGTCAGAAACAATTATCTTTAATTGTATGCAATCTATAGAGAACTTCATGTTGTTCAGAAAGAAAGACTGATTTGCAGATAAATAATGGGCTTCCTTTGTGATATTGGACAAATTACTGCACTTCCTGAGTCATTTTTTTATACATGATTGAAGCTGGGATAATTTTAATCCCAGTGTGTGTGAGCAATGTGAAAAAAATTAATCAATGTATACAAAGGTATTCAGAGATTTTCTGTGGAAATTTCAAAGCACACTTGTGGTTGCATAGCTTTGAACAGTACCTGCAACAGCCCCATGTATACACAAGGTACCCAGTGTCAAAACTGTAGATAGAGATTTGTAAGCAATTAGACATTTAGAGTCTGCAGTGGGAAAGACTCACTTGCATTCATAAGGCTATATCAGTGGTGGCGAACCTATGGCATGGGTGCCAGAGGCGGCACTCAGAGCCCTCTCTGTGGGCATATGAGCCGTCGCCCCAACACAGAGTTGCTTTGGAAATGGGTGGGAGTGACTGGCAAGCAGGCAGGCTGGGCTGAGGGCAGAAGAAGGCTGTGGCAGCTGCCTTGGAAGTGATACGCGGGAGGGGAAGGCACCGCTATCTCGCGGACGATGTCTGCCGGTCCCTTAGGAGCAAAGGCGCTGCTGCCGGGCTTCAGGAAGCGGATCCTGGTGACCGGTGGCACCGGGTTCATGTAAGGGAGAGGCCGGCAAGGTGGTTCCGTCTGCGCCAGAAGCCTGGCGTGGGAAACATACTGCTGCTGCCCCTTTAACATGGTGGCTTCCTGGGATGTGCCATGGAAGGGGCAGGGCATTCTTGTCCGGGTTGTAGGGAGCCCTGTTCTTCCTTGTGCCTCATAGAATGTTAGTGCTGGGAAACTGTGGTAAGAGGAGGGGGGGAAGTGTGTGTGGTAGAGTTGCTAACCTCCAGGTGGGGCCAGGTGATCACCTGAATTACATCCTGTCTCCAGGTGACAGGTCAGTTTTCCTGGAGGAAATTGTGTTTTTTTTGGAGATTTTTTTAAAACCCTGCTGAGGGTTTCTACACTACACTGGATCCCCTCTCCCCAAATCTGCAGGTACTTTGCAACCTGGAGTTGGCAACCCAGACAGCGGGTCATGTTTGATTTTAGAAATCTCTGCCAGGAATATTCCCCTTCAGTCCACAACCCCTCTGCTCTGGTTCTCACCCATTCAGGTTCTTGCTGTGGGGAGAATATAGGGTTGCCGGCTCTGGGATGACAAATACCTGGAGATTTTGGTGGTGGAGCCTGAGGATGGTCGGGTTTGGGAGGGGAGAGATTTTAGTGGCATATAATGCCATACAGTCTACTGTTCAAAGCAGCCATTTTCTCCAGGCGAACTGATCTGTCACCTGGAGATCAGTTGTAATCCTAGGAGATCTCCAGCCACCACCTGGAGGTTGGCAACCTTAAGAGAATAGGCTGCCTTGCTTCACGCTGCTGATGGTGGTGGGCTCCTGATTCGAATGTTGATTTTGCCTCAGTATTCAGGTTAAATTGCCGTGTTGGCACGTTGTGATAAATAAGTGGGTTTTGTACCTTGCATGTTTATCGTGGGTTCTGCATGTTTATCGTACCTTGCATGTTTATCGTGGGTTCTGCATTGCTTCTTCAAACATCAAATTTTCCCCTTTGTTTCAAGAAATCAGGTAACGGCGAGCTTATGCTGGTAATCCAGCTCGATCGGCTTCTGAAGTGTTGATTTGCATACGCCTGCTTCACGGAAGGAGATCAAAGCGTGACACAAGCCTCTTCCGAAGCTTGATCACGCCGATCTCAACTCCCCCTTGGGCACTGCTGCTTGCTTGTCAAACCCCCTGCCTGGAGGTTGCTGCGTTGGGCTGAAATAAGCCCAAACTGTCAGAAGAAGCTGTCGCGCACCCCGCACACTTGCAGGATGCGTTAATCCGCCATTTCGCCCGACTGGAAGCCCTCCCTCCTGATTCGAATGTTGATTTTGCCTCAGTATTCAGGTTAAATTGCCGTGTTGGCACTTTCTAATAAATAAGTGGGTTTTGGGTTGCAGTTTGGGTACTCGGTCTCTAAAAGGTTCGCCATCACTGAGCTATATTGTTAGATTACAGAACATGTTTTTCCCCCCAACACATTGTTTGCATTCTTAGCACAGGTATTTTTAAAATTCTGCCTCATACCAAGGCCTTATCACAGTGGCTTTGAAGACAGCTCAGAGCTGAGCATTTATGACTTCATATTCTGAGTATGGGTTAATTATGAAGAATGCGGTGCTTGTTTCTCTTGTCTTACTGCATTATAGGTTATCTGATAGGTGGTGATGTGCTGAGGTTATTACATGGCCACATGGATGAATGCCTGACCGTCCCTTCAGGAGAACATGGAGAAGAGCAGAGAAGGTATGTTTTAAAGCCCTACACAGATATGAGAAAGTTTATGTTATTAATTTCAGTTAGCTTTTTCTTGCAAAACTTCAGTATATAAAGTGCTACTTTAACATCTAATTTCTATGTTGTGTACATGGCTACTTTGGCAATTTTTACTCCAAGCAAAATACAGTCCTATCCTCCTGTCCCCAACAATTAGTTCCTAAACAGCACAATAAGTTCACAGTGAATAAGTTCATGGAAAATATCATACAGTTGCCTGGGATATAACTTTCATTTTTGATTTCTTTAATCCTATATATATAATTCCCTTACGTATTGGCCGTTTCCAGCTCTCCTATTGGGATATAACTTTCATTTTTTATTTCTTTAATCCTATATATATAATTCCCTTACGTATTGGCCGTTTCCAGCTCTCCCATTGGCTGTGCAGTGTGCTCCGTCAACCATTGGCCCATTAACCACCACTCAAGATTACTTATGTGAACGGCTGTCTGTGCTTGGTCCAGTCCTCTCCCCTGCCCACTGCCAGCCTGGACACACTTTCCTCACAGAATAAACTATCAAAACGGCTGTCTCTCCTGATGAGGACACTTCTCCTTCTTGGCTCCTGTGGAACTAACTTTTCTCTCAGTGGCTGTTGCTAGGCAACCAAGCTTGGTTCTGTCAGTAAAAAGGCAATGGAAGAAAGCCCTTTTCCAGGCATTTGTGGGGAACTCATTGGGGCCAGTCCTGACTAGGGTTGCCAGCTCCAGGTTGGGAAATTCCTGGATATTCTGTGGTGGAGTCTTAAGGAGGCCAGAGTTTGGGGAGGGCAGAGGCCTCAGCTGAATAGAATGCCATAGAGCCCACCCTCCAAAGCAGTTATTTCTCTGCGGGGGGAGAGATCTG